GCACCTGCTCGAAGGTCCCCCCGGAGCCTTCTCTTCTCCAGGCTGAACAGCCCCAGCTTCCTCAGCCTGTCCTCGTAGGAGAGGTGCTTCAGCCCTCAGATCATCTTTGTGGCCCTCCTCTGGACCTGCTCCAACACATCCATGTCCTTCCTATGTTGGGGGCTCCAGAGCTGGACGCAGTACTCCAGGTGTGGTCTCACGAGAGCAGAGTAAAGGGGCAGAATCCCCTCCCTCACCCTGCTGGCCACGCTGCTCTTGATGCAGCCCAGGATACGGTTGGCTTTCTGGGCTGCAAGCGCACATCGCCGGCTCGTGCTGGGCTTCCATTTTTATAAGTGGGTAAGCCTTGTCACTTTCTCCTATCTGAATATAGGAATATGATATGGAAGGGACTTAGAACTGTTGCTGTAAAATGTCACACCGTAAAAAAAGATTAAAATTATTATTTCTATACTGTGGGGGAAGTAGGTCTAGTTTTGTATCTGCCAGAAGGTGTTCAGGAGACAAATGGAAATCCCTGAGGCAGCAGAGGAGGCTGCTGTATTTATGTTGAGAGCTGACAGCAGTTCAGAGCTTGTTTAAGAATATACTTCATTATTAGTTCAGATCAAAGTTGTTCTCACACCAGCGAGTAGAGCCATCTGGGCTCGGACTGAGTCAGTAGAAGAATTTATCTATTAAATAAGTCAAAATTTAAAAGTAGCGATTTTGAACTCCTTTCTAGGAATACTGTCTCTTCCCTGTAGCCAAACAGGCATAAACAAGGAAGGAGTAGATTACATTCTGTAGTGCAAATCGGAATTCTTAGTCTGTATCTTCTTCACTTCTACATTTGTGTAAGCTGGAAGCCTTAGAGACCTCATTACCAGAAAACGAGACGATAAAACAAAATCTGTTCTTTAGAAAAACAAAGAAAGAAAAAAACAACCTAAACAACCACCTGTGAGGACTGCATGTTTTTTCCCCTGTATCTAATAATAAGAATAAAACAAGGCTTAAGGAGGATAAGCACACTTAATGCAAGAAAAAAAATCAGCATTGCTGGATTTTTCTTAACTAAAGAATTGGAAATTACGGTATTAGAGAACCATGTCTTTTGAATGAATTGTGTTAGCAGAAATTGCTTCTTAAATGTTTTGAATTTAATTGAAGCCATTTCCAAGTAGAAGTTAGGTGTATTCTGCTGTAGGAGAAATAATAAAAATAATTGGCTGGCCATTGCATATCTCTCTGGACAGAAGAAACAATTGAAACAGTTCAACGTGTTGTGGATGTTTTTCAGAAACTCGAGGGCTTGACATTCGTGTGTGTATAATATTTATATACCTGTGTGTAGACTCTTGCTTTTCTTGCAACCATTGGCGTGCTCCTGGGAGATGAGATCTCGGACAGTGATCTCAATTCTTGTTGTAAGGATCAACTTTTGGAGCGAAGCTGGAGATACCCATAATAAATTTAAACGTAGTGATCTTTAAGCAAGTTCTTACAATACCTGTTCTTTGTACTCTGCCTTGTTCCAATCAGAGATGGTCCTGCTGGAGTCTAAGAGCATTTAAATAGTAGTTCTAGTAACTTTCTGTGCACACTGGCTTCTAGCTCACATAGCAGTTGTGAAGATGTAGGCAAACTCAAGTAAAAAACGGTTACCTTATTTTATCAAAATTATGCTAAAAAAACAAAAAACCAAGCCCACAACCTAAAATGTCACCTCTTTCCTACTACTGTTGGGGGACAGTTGTGTTTCTTTGTATAATGTATAGACATATATAAAAATAAATTTTATTTTTTTTTCCCTGCTCAAACCTTATCAGTAGTATCCTTTGCTTACAGGCCTACTTTGCTCACTCTCTGAATTCTGATAAGCAGACGCAGCTGATGGAGTAGCTTGTACTGTAAACAAACGCAACAAAAGGACATTTTAAAATTAATTTTAAGGTAATTTTGAAAATAATGCTTTAAAAAAAAAGTACAAATCTTTCAGAGTAACATTTCAAAATGAGCTCATAAGAGGAAAATAAAACTGAATTTAAGATTCTCTTCTTTGTAGTCCTTATTTGGGTAAATCAGTAGGTCTGCTTGCAGCTACACCTGGTCTTTGGAGTAAGTTTTTTGGCAATGTGACCTGAACTTGTATGTTTCATGGCAGTATGTTTATCTGGGTCATGTATTATGTGGTGCTGATTAAACTTCTTAAGAATATGGGAACCAAAGAACAAAACAGCCGTACTTCAAAACATGCTGACATCATGAGCGCATTGGTCAACTCTGGATTAGCTGGAAATGGCAATGCATACTCTAGTGGCATTTTTATGATTTTTTTTTTTTTTCTTTCCCCTGATAATAAAGTCTTGTTTCCTGATAACTGAGGAAGCTATTATTTTGGCTGTCGGTAGACATCGCTCCCCACCATGTCTGTCCTTGCTGGGCACAGGCTCATCTCGGCGTCTGACCAGGAGGCAGCTCTGTCTGGCCTGGGCAGAGATGTGCTGCTGAGGGGGTGGCTTTTGACAGCATCAGACCAGGTTTTCGCTGCTGCTCTGGTGCCCTCTTCTTTCTACCCACAGTTACAGGTGTTCAAGCTTCTTCTATGCTACCTGTCAAGTGGAGTCCTCCTCATTTCATCTGGCAGAAGGGTCATCTTCCTCCTTAGCCCTCCTCTCTGTTGGTTTTTGGGACTCCATTCACATGTGGTGTTGGCACAGGCATGGCTGTCTTAGCAGCTGTTTTAATCCTTGCCATTTTGCTGGGGGAGATGTGCGGATTCCCCAGCAGTGGATGACATACTTCTCTGCTTACCTCCTAAGATGGGAGTAACATTCTGCTGTCACACGTTTAGAGTGCTTTAAGTCGTAATTGAAAGGAACACATCCTCCCCCTCCCCCCATATGTTGTATTCTTCCCAGATCACTTTCCAGAAGAATGCTGAGATTTCAGCAGATACTGTTACTAGAAGTATTGACCTTATTGAACTGTAATCCATTTCCCCAGGTTTGACTGACACCAAGCCAGAGAAAGAGAGGGAAGTATAATAAAGCTGGTTTCTGCGATGTTCTCAGCCTGGCAGAACTGCACTTGCTGCTCAGATCTTTGTGGCCTTTTTTCCCCCTTTACGTTACTCAGTTTTCTTCTGGTGGGACCTTTGACTTTTTTCTATTTCTGTAGTCCTGAAATGCCAAGTTATCCTGGCAAAGGCATCACATGTTTGCAGTTTTTCCTTCTTCAGTGAGTTTTATAACTTGTCTAGGGACATGTTCTTGAATTTACAGACAGCAGTTGTGACCAGTCAGATGTTACTGTCTGCATGAAATTTATGTTCCTGCCCAAAAAAAGAGCTGTTTATATTAAACTAGACTGTCTCTCCTTGAAGAATGACAGGTTCACCTCCAGGAAAATCTGCTTAGAGCACAAATGAACTCTTCAAATACAGGAAGACTTCAATATCATTTTAGTGTCTGTGAAGAAAAAGCGATTGTCATTTAGCAAGGGGAGAATGTGTTCCCAAGATTCCTGTTAGCCTCAGAAGGTCGCGGCTAGCGGGTTTTGATTGTTTCACTGTGTGTCACCGTAGCCAGCAGAGACTCCTGCTCTCTGCTGTCGACAGAAGAGGGTTGAAACAAAACTGTTGTCCCTAACCACTATTCAGACATGCCTTATGCACCAGCAGAACCTTAAGGCAGCATCTGGAACTGCAGATGTCCTGCTGTTTCCTTGCTTTGTGAAAGCTCAGGCTCCGCTTTCGTGTCTGTTTGACCAAGGTAAGCTTGCAAGAACTGCACGTACTTGGTAATATTTGCAAAGCTTCTGCTGTGCAGCCAGGAATTTGATACACCATAGCGGATTAGTGTTAGGGGTCGCTTATACGCGTGGTTTGATGCCACAGCGGCCACAGACTGTTCTAAAACTTGAAGTGTTTTCTTTACTGCGGTGTGTAGATTCTTCTAGAAGAAGTCTGGTCTGTTGAGCACTTTCCCCTAAAAGGAAGAGATCTGTTCAGAACCTGTCTAGAAAAGATGTGCATGGGTTCAACTGGCTGTATTTTATGACACCTTGTGGGCTTTGTAGTGTGTATGCCCCAGTTGTGATGATAATTGCCTTGAGATAATCATTGCAAGCAGCTGGTACTGTGCAAAGAAGCCCTTCCACCTACCTTTACTATCTAGGCTGATAAAGCTGAGATCTTTCTCCATGGCTCAGAAGCTTGCTTCTGCAGTCAGACAGCTCAAGCGTGTAGCTGTTGGCAGTTTATGTACTACTGCATTATTCTTCAGGTACTTGGAAGTCTCTCTAGCATGTGAAGAGCAATCATGTACCTGTAATGGGGAGTGGTGCTACCACTTTGTTTTACATTAGCAAAGAAGAATGGTGCCAAATTTTCTCTTTATTCGGGGAAATGGTTAACCAGTGTAAGCTGATAGCTGATCTAAATTTTAATGAGTACCTTTCAGGGGCCCTGGGCAGCTAGCAGATGGACTGTATTGCTTCATGCTACTGAATCATGATTAGGAAGTGTCCTACAAGCTGGCTTCTGAGATTGGGGTCAACCTACCTATTTTACAAGTCAGTAAGAAGTGTCAGTATTAACCAGAGCCAGCTGGCTGTCAGAGCTCCACTTGGGCATATTCCAGATTTTCTGCTTAAGGAAATTGGTGTGTATCTTCTACCGCTTCGTTTCTGCACGGTGTATTGTCCTGGCTGCAGGACATTTTATGCATGTGGAAGCAAAAGCCCTGTTCCCAGATTTGTGAATGTTCAGCTGAAGTCAGGTTGGTCAGTAGTTTGCAGGTTCTTCCATCTGATCATGTGCATGCTGGATGACCCTTTCGATTAGGATTTATCTGTTTAATTCCTGGTTGTGGAGACTGGTTGCTAGTAGGTCTGCTTTTTCACAGGTCCAGGTGCTGTGCATTAGTTGTTTGGTATGCACATATGGCTTGCACAGTCCATATTCCCTAGTGTGAAAGTTAACACAGGCAGTGTATTTTAGGGAAAATGAGTTACAGGTAAGTGACCTCTCTCCTTGAACTCTGTTTTGCCTGAAAGTAGGTTCCTGTTGCAGTCTCCTTTTCTGTCCTTTTCTGTGACAGTTCTTGAAGAAGTAGATCACATTAAAAGAATGGAACTGAAAAAGAAACTTAGGCTGCGCAGCGGATTTGAGTATACATTAGAGAAGATAGCATGCATAGTGCTTGGAAGCGATAGGAACAGGAGAGAGAAACCCTATGATCTTGCTATGGTCAAAACGAAAAGTAGAAGGGTCTTGAGAGAGAAATGCACAATACTTATCCTGTAGCTTCGTGTGACAAGGGGCAAGGTAGCTCATTCCCTTTGCCTTTTTTCCTGGAGATAGAACTGGCTCCTGAAACGCCAATGAGGAAGGAGATGCCAGTAGGAACGGTGACCTGAGAGAGCAGAAATGGGCTTAGGAATAGCTGTGGTGACGGAGAGACTTAAATGCAAAAGTGATACACTTCACAGGTAAGAGGTGCTTAGATGGTGAAAATGTCATTTACTGTTTTAAGAAGTGGTGTTAAGAAAGAGTCACGTAATTTTTACGTTTGAGGAAGTTTAACATTTAAAGTAGCCAAATGTTTGCCAGGTATTCAAAAGAATGGAAGGAAAGACTTAGGAGAAGGTTACTGAATTAGAAATGTAGAGAATTGAAAATACTTATCAAACATGGAAGTGCACACTGGTTTTACATTCTCTAAGAGTGTGCCTTTCTGCTGTGTTTGTAATCATTGTGCTCTGAGTTTAGTCACTAAAAAACTAGACTAGAAATATTTTTAGAGCAAATAATATCTAGTTTCTACCCAGATTCTTCTTTAGGATGTGAGAGTACTTGAATAGGTATTAGAAACATTAATGAATGAAACCAGCACAGGCAATTTCTGGTACTGATTTTTTTTAATAAAAATGTGAATATACGGTGCCCAAGCTATTCCATCTACTTGTAATAGCTCTGTAGCACTTAGGGTCTCTAGTTACTCTTTTTCTGAGAGAATTTTGAACTCTGTAGTGTTGGTGGTTTATATTATGGTTTGCTAATTAGCCACTTGATGTTTACATGCTGTTTTGAAAAGAGGATTTTTTGTTTACATAAGTGACTTTTGGGTACTTTCCAGCCCAAGTCTGTACTCTTGTCAGCTGCAAGGCAGAGAAGTAATCGTAACTACCAGTTTTCTTCCTGCTGTTTTCTGGCTGACCCTCCTATCAAATCCTCCGTCTGCTCCGTGATACCCTTCCCACAACTTGGCCAGTTCTTCCTAGAGACCATGTTTCCTTGCTAACTTTCATAGACATTGTCAAAGCAATTGCATGGCAAGAAACTGTCATGCTAGCAAGCTTTTTCAGTGCTCAAGAAAAACTAGGAAACTGCATAGGACTGTGTAGAGTGTACATTAGCTGGATAATTCTGTTGAATATTCAGTTTCAAACTAACTACCAAGTCAGTATCAGAATTTTTAAAAGTTTGTGTAAGAGTTCCAGGTGTTACAGTTTGCATCTTGTGTCATTTGTGTGGCTGGAAGGAGAAAGCTGCATTCTTTTAGAATTACAAGTGAATTATTCAAGTCAAATATAACGAGGCAGTGACTGTTCTGAGTATTCCTGTGGGCCTTAGGCTGTGGTCAGACTCTGGGTGCATTTGTTGTGTGATTTGGGTAACTTTGTGTCTGTCCATCGGTAGAAACTTAATTCTGGGGGGAAAGTGAGCTCATAATCAGTTTGGAAACAGTGATTTCTAGTCATGGCGCTGACGTTGTAATGCTGATGTGTAGGTACCTTTGGTGACCTGGTGCATCAGTTCTCGCACCGCCTCACAACGTGAACTTGTTGGGTCAAAGACTGTCAGAGATGCTTTGCCAGTCTTACCTGGTCTCACCGCGTGGGAACAGTGATGTCTAAAATCAGCCTGTAGAATTGCCTTTTGACTGCTTAGGTTCCCAGTATTTTAAAAAAGTAACAGTTAGTACTTTTGAGACTGGTCATTCTTATGGTAACTTTTTGTATTCCACCTTTCCCTGGCTGCTCTGTTCTAGGCATCCCAGAGGAGGATCCTTTATCCGGCCAAACAAGGCAAATTTTGGAGTAGATTTCCTTACGGCAGTAAAGGATCGGTACGGACTGAATGATGAGCAAGATGTGCAGCATGGGGCACAGGACACATTGGTAGTCGGAAAGAAGACTGTGGAATTTGTTGGCATGGACTCTATTACAGAACAACAAAGGCAAGTGTAATATATGAACATTTAAGCTACACTCTTAGCGATTGATTCATCAAGTAGCAGTTCAGCTGTAAGGAAAGGAAGCTGCCTGCCCTGCATATAATATTTAAGAGACAAGAAATCTTCCTATTGTGGCTTCATAATTTACCTGTTTCGCAGATAGAAACTGGGATTATGTCATGTTTCGGTGTTCACAATCCTCGTTTTGATTTCACAAAGTAGGAGGTGATGATATTAGAGGAGGAATGAGTGAGATAAATTATCACAATATCGGCAATCATTATACATATGCACGGTCCTTTTTAAATAGATGTATTTTAATGTTTTCTTAATATTGTACAGTATTATTTCCCCTTTGTTTACTCATATCAGTAATGACTTTGTAACGAAGAGAGGGAAGGCAGAAAGTCACTGGACTGCTAGTGAAGAAGTCTCTCGGTCGGTTCGTGTCATCTTCATTTATCTGGAAGCGTAGGAAAGGGAGGAGCTTCGTGGTGTGCCGTGGACTGCAGTTTTCGTGGCCTCCCGCAGCAGAGGTGTCAGTTCAGCACCACCCGCCTCCTGAGCTGCTACTCCACAGCGGGTCTCCCTGTGTCTCCCGGAGCACACTAAGCAGTCAAAAATACTCTTTTTCTTTGTTTTATTAAGTGATACAAAGAATGCCCAAATAATGTAGAACCTCTAGCAAAAAGTATTACAAGAAACCTGTTTAACTTACAACCTCTAATTAAATTCTAATTTGCATAGCTATATTTTGTCAGGCTTATCACTCTTTTTTTTTTTTTGGCCGTTGGATGAGGGTTGGTTGGGATTTTTGGGGGTGGGGATTGTGGTTCAGCCAGACCTATTTTGTAGTAGCAATGTAAAGGCGAAAAATAGCAGAGCTATGTCTGATTTCAGGTAAGAAAGGCGCTGCAATGTAGCAGTCTGCCCACTGCTAATTCTAAAGGAGATGATAGGCACGGAAAGGATCTCGTTTAGTTGTAACAACCAGGTATTTATATAATGGACCTATTTCTGATTGAAGATTACTTAACAGAATGTTCTTTCTCATTTAGCCAGCTGAACCGACTGGTGGACATCTCCGTGCGGGGGTGTGCAGTGAGCCATGCCGGTCCCACAGAGGAGATCAGCAGAACATGCACTAGTATCCTTTTTTCGCTGTATTGCGTGACACCACAAATAAAATACATATTTTAGCGTTCCAGCCGTTCACTTCGGTGAATGATATTTGTATCCTTTTGTTAAAAAAGATGTTTAAAACTGCAGTTCATGTTTAGAAACTTAATGCAGTGTTTACAGAGTTAAAATTTTTTGAGAGAGAATGAAAATTGTGGGTGAAAATAGAAATATTGTCATAGGTTGCTACTGTGACTGTGATTTCAGAAGGCTCCAGCATTGGGGTTTGTTTTTAAATTTAACTCTAGAATAGATAACTCCATAAAAATACAACTGATACGTTCTATAGGCACCAGAGGTTTCCCATATGTAATAAATAATGCGTTCAATGTACATGTAGTGATGTTACAGAAATACAAAGCGGGTATTATTTGTTCATTTGTAAGGACTGGTAAGAGTTCCTGTGAATACAGAAATTAATCCATTTTAGGTTTTGTAAAGTTAAGCTCTTTTACAAAACTATTTCCATACCACAAATTAAAATAAAATTTGCTTTAACTGAGCCATAGTATCTCTTAGCCCAGGCAAGTGTAATCTGTTTCTGTTTGTTTGATTCAAAAACAAACCCTAATTCTAATTTCTAAAAAAAGGAAGTTCAGATTTGAGATAAGTTTCTTTTTCTTAATGTGAAATTTCAGATGTCAGGCATATAGATCTATCAAAAAATCTGGTATCATCTTGGGAGACGGTAACAGCTATTGCTTCTCAAGTTCAAAATCTGGAAACACTTGATGTCAGGTATAAATATTCATATTTGGGTTTCTGTTCCTTTGGGTAGGGGCAGAAAAGACAAGGCTTTTTTAGACACAGGGTCAGCTTTCTAAAGGTAACTGGATGCCTCAGCGCTCCTTTGAATGGGAGCTAAGTTTTTTAATACTTTTTTTTTTTTTTTAAATCTTGTCCTTAAACAACTTGTGTACGTGCTGTATTTTCCAGACGTCTCGCTTGAAGGAAAGAGCAGAACCCTGGGAGTTTAGCATCTATGTAAAACTAAATTTTGGGGAAGTGTTTGGGACAGATGGATGTTGACTGGAGTTTTGCAAAATTAGAAAAACCACAGTTGTCTGAAAAACAGAATACCGATTTCAGCCATTAAACATTTACAGGAATTTAGGCATTTGTCAGTGATGTTCTACATAACAGAACTCATCATTTTTATGCAGATTGGCTTGTTGGCTAGGGAGACTGCATTAAAATGCATTATAAATTTTTACAGGGCGCTGTAGAATCTTTTAAGCAGTTAGACCTTAGGTAAAAAACAGTTACTCAGAGTGCTTTTATAGAAATGTGGAAACCGGGAGCGTACAAACTCTTTTACAGCGTCGGAAGATGCCCTTCTACACCTCTGTGGCATCTAAGACAACTTACTTGACAATTTACTTGATTTTAACGCTTAGTTTGCCCGAAGGCAGAACTGACTTAACCCTGCGTGTGTGAGCGTGGTTTGTAGCAAGGAGCCTATGCGGGACTGCGCTGGAGACGGGCGCCCGGAGAAGAAGCCAAGACCTGGAGGTGCCGCTGCTGCAGGAGTTGGCAGCCTGGCTGTGAAAGCACTAGGAACGCTTCCTTACTGCTCGGAAGTCTCGCGTGGCGTCTCGAGTTAGGTTTGGCAGCAGCGGTCTGTTCGGCTGCTGGGTTCGCCAGCCTGTTTGGGTTCTCTTTGCTGAGCAGCGTGGCCTGGGCTGAGGGGTTTCAGAAGCTGTGCGTGATAAAATTGGAAAGCAAATTGATGGGTTGATGCTGGAATCTGACACTTATGACTACAAACTGAAATGTCCAAATTTGTTTTTTATTGTTTTAACCTTCCGTTTACTTTAAAAAAGAAAGACATTAGCAGGTAAGTCTGTTACTGAACTTTTTTGTGCAAGGCGTGTTGGAAGAAGAGTAAAAGCGATTAGCCATCCCCCAGCTCTCCAAGAGCTTGCTTAAATGGGGAAATGTAACCCGTAAGTTTGTAAGTATAACTACACCAAGTGATTTCTACCATAATATGCAGATAGATCAGAGCTTAGGAAAGAAATAAAACCTTTTGTTTGGGGGTGAGTAATGAAAACTAAGTTGAAGACTGTAGATTTGGGAAACTTTTAACTACGTTATAGTGATATTTTGCTGTTTAGAGTGGATTTTACATCCTTTTGTTTTACTGCGGTCTGGATAGTCCGGTA